ACTAACTGAATTTAATAACTAAATTGTATTATTAATTCTACTATTGGTATTAAACGTAAAGTTAAGAGAGTTCTCTATGACTAAGGATTGTCGCCACGGTTGTCAGAATAATACTAAGTCTACACTTCTTAGATTTCTCTTGAGTTTCTTAAATTGTAGGAAACCTTTAGGAAGGGGTCAACGGAATTGTTCATTGGATGTTTCGGGTTTTCCGCCGATCTCTATTGGAATTTGGTTGAAAGAGGGTGGAGATTGTGTAATTTAAATTGTCTTATTGGTTGACGCTGGGTCCACGAGGACTGGACGTTTCGTTTTATGAGCACACGTGCCAACACTTCACCCCGTGACGGAGCAGTCCCAGAGATTTTATGACTGCAGTTTGGGTAAATCCCGATCGTAAATTCTGGTTCTGGGGTTATACAGAATTTACCCATTCATAAATCTGAGGATTATAGAAAAAAATAGGCTTGAAACTGAATTTTCTAAGGTGTGGGATTTTTCCCCATCGAAAGGTGAAGGGTCAGCACGTGAGCATGATTTCTGGGGAAACAATTTTTTTCAACGACAAACTAGAATTTTACATGAACATTTTGCCTATTTTAAATTGGACATTTTTTTTAATGGAATTTGATTTGAGATAAAGGACTCTTTAGTCGTAACAGTATTGATAATATAAACAGCAGATTAATTGAATTACCGAGTGAACTGAATTAAAAAAATTATAGCAGTGTTGGCACACACCTTTACCAGAGTATTACCAAACATTGAATTTCAGCACTTTAAACTGTGAATTATGTTCAAAAAGAAATTTGATTGTGATTATGATCAAAATCTCATTCAATGAGCATAGGAATTACCACATGCGCAACACATTCATTGCAATATGAAAATTTCACAACTAATGAATAAATTTCACAGCTAACAATGAATCGAAATAAGAAATATTGAATTTGACACGGAAAAAAGGGCATAATGGAAATTCTTTATAACATTCATTTTTGAAAAGGTGAATAGAGGATGATTTATAGAAACTTCAAGGAAGTTTACAAGTTCTCTCAAAAATTAAAGAATCGTTGGTTTTTTTAATCGGAATGTAGGATAATTTGGGAGTTTTCTAAAGAATTCAAAACAATTATGAGGTTTTCAAAAAAAAATTTGATAAAGTTCTCAAATGTTCTAGAATGTCTGGATAAACAATGGGAAAATAATTGAAAAGAAAAGGACGAATTTCCTGAACAAAACTGATGTGAAGGAGTCACGTGACTGACTACTGCACTCTGATTGAAATGAGAAAGGAGAACCAATTTGAGAAATACCTCGCATTTTTACATCAATTGCACAAAAATTCTCAAAAAAAGTACTAGTCAGGCAGACTTTCACAATAGAGGGTTAAACAATTGATTAATCGTGACGCATTGTTACCATTAATCTTCACATATGAAAAAATTCGGTTGAAAATCCTAGCGAATTCGCTAGACAATTCTATTGGATTTCTATTGAACTTTCTATTAGCTTCTGGCCATCTCTATTGAAATGTTCAATAGAATATATTCTGTAGAATAACTCAATAGAAATCAATATATTTTTCTGTACAACTTATTCTATTGAGATATTTTCTATGAAATTTCCTCCGCTGAAATTTTCGAAGTTTTTTTCACTCTACTTTTTCTTTTCTTTTCATCAAGAATATTAAACAAAAAAAACTTAGAGAATGTGAACCAAGAAAATTCCACAGAAAATATCTCTATAGAATAAGTTGTATAGAAAAATGGAATTCTATTGATTTTTTCTATAGAATATGTTCTATTGAACATTTCGATGGAAACGGCCAAAAACTAATAAAAAGTTCAGTAGAAATACAATAGAATTGTCTAGCGAATTCGCTAGGAATTTCTATGAAATTTTTTCGTGCGTGTTAACACTCAGCATAATGGAACGATGATGAATCATTAATTGTTAAAAGGAACAATAAAAAGGGCATCATAAAAGCTGACGCTATATAACGTGATGCTATATAACGTAGGACACTGTTGGCAATTGCTGCATGCGAAAGTTGGAATTCGAGTTGCGCTGCCAACTCAATGGCTTGAGTGTGACTGTTCTCGTTTAGAAGATAATGGGAACGCGAAAAATGTGTATGCCAGTTCGTGCATATCTTCGTAAATATTGAACGGATTAAATTAATAATTGCAACAGTGGAAAGCGGATTGGTGATTTATATAGTGTAACCAAGGACAGTTTTCGTCTAAGTGGGCGCATTTTTTATTAATTGATGGAAAATCAGTTGAGGGTAGTGGAAGGGGAAGTTGTGTCGTGTATAGATACTCGGTAGCTCCCGTCGTTCCGTTGTGAGGTTATGAGGTGCGACTTGACCGATACGCTACCGCGTGTCTCGATTTTCATTCAGAGCATATGTCTGCCATAATTACTGCGAAAATCATACGATTGTATTTCAATATATTTTGGTCCATTAATTTCATGCTCTTACACATGCCATCCTTCCGTTCTGAAAATTGAAAGTTGGTGGCGTCACCGTTGAAAAGTCGGGTTTGATAGTGGATCGATAGTAAATATCAATGGAATGGTTGTTAATCGATGAAAGGGCTATTTTCAGGATCATGATTTCTTTGAATGTTTTCGAAAAAAAAATTCGAAATAGAATCGATAGTATTTCGATGGCGGAACGATGATGTCGTTGCAGAAACGATAATACATACATCATGATGACGTCTAGCCGATTCTGTTATTGGATGTCCTTATGATGAGTTCATAATTATGATCTGACCTGATTTGGTGAAAACATAAATCGGTGAGTCATTTTACACTGAAACTTTTCAAGTCACGTTGCTTTACATCAATAATCATGCCTTGATTCTGTGTATGAACAGCACATAGTTAGTCGGTGATTCGCATGGGATTTGACATAATTCTCTAATGAGTTTTGCTTCATTAAAACAGCTTCTCCAGATTGGAATGATTTAGGCACGTGGGTTACTCGAGAAAAAGTTAGATAGTTAGCTAACTGGTTGATTGATTCAGGTAATTTCATTTGCAACATACAATTGGTCAACCATCAGTGAGAGAATGAGCTCATGATCAGGTAAATCTTAATCAAGTCTAGTCGCCATTCTCACTGACGGATGTTCTTTCAACGGATACAGCATTATGATTCAGCCTGATTCGAAAAATACATAAATCGGTGAGTGATTTTCCGGTCATACATCGCGAGTGATCGCTTTTGATTTTGCAGGGGTCAAACATCTCAAGCTACAAAGGTCTTCAGTGTGTGAAGTTCAATTCCATTAGTTATTTAGCTTTATTGAATTTTTCACGTCATCATGCCTTCTCGTAATATTTTTTTTATTCTCCACAGATTGTATTAAGGCATTTTTTAGGATTCAGCGAAACATTTTTAAATCACAGAACTAATTCGATCATCTCAAACTTGAAGTCTTTGATAATATTTTGCCAGCTCTTTAGACCAGAATGGTTCTTCTCAGGTCGGACTGGCCTGTTTCAGGGTTTCGAATAATAACGCATAATTCACTAGAATTTAATATAAATTGTGTCTCAAAAACTCATAATACATATCCTGAGGGTAGCTTGGGGGAGTTATTTTGAGACAAATGTCACAATAGAATTGTTGTATTTGGCCCTCTGTTAAGGAGTTATTCGTCAAGAAAGAAAAAATGCGCTGCAAATCATTTAAAAAAAATTGATATCTTGTCTCTCTCTCTGAAGGAATGAAAATGATAGCAATCGATTGGCCATTCAATGCACAATCATCTGACATAATTGGTCCTCTACTAGCATACTTGGGTGAGGCAACTCGCATTAAGTTGCACCGCGACGTAAGACCATTTAGTTCTTACACGCAATGTGACTCTAAATATCAGAGTCTACGTAAAAAATTCATACCTTTTATTCAATATGAAGGGATGAAATTGATTGGAATCGATTAGACATTTACTGTCATCATCCTTCTGCCTTAAATGGAAAAGAGAATATGATAACTCGTAAACAAAGCGTCAGAGCTATAAAAATTATTAGAGTTTTCGTCTCGAACCTCCCCCCCAACAGTCTCTGATGTGTACGATGAGTTTTGGGACACCCTGTATAATGGGAATGACTTTCTCCCTGTGGAAATGATTGTTGTGATTTTGCTCATTTGTCACGTTGGACTCGCGGGAAATTCATCCCTTACAAGGTGTGATTCTCGCAACGTTTGACTCTTTGACTCCTCTTCTCCCCCGTTTGATCCTTGTCTTCACTCTTCCCGTCTCGCAAACCGAAAATACAGAATTGAGAGGAAAAAGAAAAAGGAGAAATCGTGGACTGACATATTAGCAAGTCGCCCTGAAGTTAAAAAATTACCAATTTTTGAGAATGCCACGAAATGACATAACAGGACATGAAAAATGCAAAAAACCCATTGGATGATAACATTATAGGTTATGAAATCTAAAAATGTGCCTTACTAAGGTAATTTAAACACCAATCCCTAGCTCAGGACTAGCTTCTATGTCCCATCATTTCATAAATCTGATACATTTTCAAATGGGATAGTATATTGTGTTACTAGTGCGTAAAGTTCCACTTTTTCACATCGAGTTCACCGAGTTCACTGTTCGGAATGGTAGTGAAGGTAATGTGGTTGTTTTTGTAAATTTTGGGTGGTTGTTTACGTACACTCGTAAACTTTACGCACGCCATGCGGAAAACAACTGCTTTACATACATTAAACCGTTTCGAAATGTGCACGTTTGAAACGGGTATCACAAAAAAAATACACCTTTTTCTAAAAGTCCATGGGAGGATGATTCTATACATTATGAAATATAGATGACAGAAATGAATCATTTGATTTTCAAAAGTTATTATGATATCGTCTATTTGCATCACATAAAAGAATTGACCGTTTTAAACAAGTAATTCAGCTTATGGTTCACTCTTCAGTCTCATAAAAATAAGAAAACTGGCTGAGACATTAGTGGCATTCGTATAGTATGAAAATTTAATTTATTAATATTTTATTGTGCCATACAGTATCTCCATCATGCAGATCTCAGGAGAATGAAAGAGGTAAGAAGCTAATTACGAATGGAAAATGAAAGTGCTCATCTTTTCGTCATTACAATGAAATCTCATTCACATAATTATCCCAGAATTGTTGAATCGTTTATTTATCATCAATTTCACACCAAACCTCCGAGAACAAATGGTTCCAGTTTAGCCCTTGGTTGGACGCTTCCCAAATGGATTCGGACCATTCTTCGTTTTTCCCTTTACAAGAAGTTGAGATGTTTGCATCCTGCTACAAGCCTCGCACGAGCAAGAAGTAGGCACAGAAATGTTTACGTTTACTGCATCTCCATCAGCACAATCTAACTGCACAATAATCTGTTTAAAAGCTTTGGGTTGACAGCAATGGCAAAGACTCTGCTGATGCCAGTTGGAAGGATTAAACTTGATTTCAGATTCACAAGTTCCACGACACTCAGTATACTCGGCAATTTCTTTTTCGTTAGTACACAGCCCATTATATCTGTACTGTTTGATTTTTCCCAGCGTTAAACGAGGTTCAAGAACTTCAGCCGCACATTCTACCTTACTTTCAATCCTTGGTCTACACTTTTTGCAACATCCATCCGTGTAAACATTCTCCTCAGAACAATTTTGAACATCTGGGCACGTTGGTGCACTTGAAACCATCATCAATTGATCCCCATTGAATTTACACTCGTACGTCCAGCAAGCGTCTGTAGACTTCCAGACGCTATTGGGATGGTGCAAAACTCCCTTATCAATGCAATAAGCTTCTTTACATCTTCCACAGCATTCTCCTTCTACAGGTCTTTGATATTCCCAACCGAACACACAACTATCGTTGCATCTTTGATGAGTTTCTTTAATGATTAACCCATTTCCATTGTCTTTGCATTCGAATTTCCCACAACTGTCTTGAGAACTCCAAACTTCTCCAGGTTGATGTAAAACTCCTCTTTCAACACAATATGCTTGTTTACATGTCCCACAACATTCTCCATTGCTCGAAATCATATATTCCCATCCAAGATCACAAGTTTCGTTGCAACTCTGATGGGTTTTCTCCAATTCAAGTCGTTCTCCAGTAATGATGCAAGTTAATGTGAGGCATTGATCTTTTGGACTTTTCCAGGTTTCCCCAACGTAATGAATCTTCTCGTCCACTTTACACGCATTCCTTGTGGGTTTAGGACAACATACCCCTGGCACTCGTTCCCATAATATTTCGTAGTTTTCTTTCTCATTTTGATCAATATTTTCACAAGATGTGACTGATTCCTTTACTCTCAGTTTATCATTCTCCAAGAGACAAGTATAATTAGTGCAGAAATCAGCCGATTGCCATTCCTCATTGATTTTCTTTGCGGAACCTTCGACGATGCAAGCAATTGGTATACATACTCCACAGCAGTTTATGCCGGGATCTTCAGGCGCTCTATACTCGTATCCTTGATCGCAGTTGTGAATACACTCTCGTGTCATCACTGTCTTCTGAACTCCCCACGTCGTATTTTCACATTTTTCGATGTGACATGCATCATTTCCATTGGGTTGCCAGGTGCTTCCAACTTCATGAATCGTTGTGTTCTCTTTACAAGCGATTCTTTCGAATTGTGGACAGCACTCGCCTATGTCTTTGAACTTCAGACTGAAGTCGTGATAGTCAGGGTGGACCTCTACTACATCACAGAGTGTCGTTGTGCAGTGATACTGAGGAGTTCCTTGAGATTGGTCACATGTACATTCTCGGCATAAACCGTCGCTCCATACTTCACCTATCTTCTTAGGTATCATAATCGTCTTTCCACCTTCGACTGATTCTGTAAGGTTGTCAGAATTTTTCGGATAAAGACAAAAGTTTTCGGGAGGTTGACATTCATGAATGGGACAACAAGCCTCTGGATTGTTTTTACTCTTGATAGTATAATATTCAGGACAATTTACACGAGGACATGTTTTTGGAATACAATAGCTTTCTTTTCTGGGACAACAACCAGAAGTATTGACAGATTGGACGTACCCAGGTAGCAGTATCTCAACATCGTTCGTCGACTCAATATCAATCAAGGGACATTCTTCGGGAGGTAGACATTCGCAAATGAATTTGGAACAACCATCAGGGCCTTTAGTAAGCTTCATAATCTGTCCATAAGCACATTCCAAGATCTGGGGTTCTGAACAAGTTGGTGGAACGGTCGGCACTGGGGCACATCTGTATTTATTACAACACTCTTCTGCAGACGTTTTCACCAAAATTGGCGTATAATTCTCCTCGCAGATGGTCTCCACAAGTGGACACTGTGTAGTCTGACATTTAACATTCTTCTTATCACAAGAACAAGTTGTACATTTGTCTGGATGCCAAAAATCTCCATCTATATGTCCTTCATCGTCACACGTGAAACAGTTCCTCTCAGTCATGCATGTACCATTGTGCCATACATCACCCTCAGAGCAGAAACATCCTTCAATCAAAGTATATGAACATTTGGGTTTGTCGACGGTGTTGAGAGTCTGACAGGTATCAGGACAACTGGGTGCACATGTTCGATAGACTAGATCTTGTTTACATGTGAAAGGGCAGAGGTCGTAAGTTCTCCAATTTGGGCAGAAACCAGCTTCTCTACACGCTTCTGCATATCTTTCCAAATCCGCGCAGATCTCTCCTTTGTCGCAAAGAGTATTGTGACAGGAATCAACATAAGGGGTGGGATTCACAAGTTTATGGCATTGGCCAAATTTATCCAGGTTCAGCAAAGTCATACACATGTCTTGCGCAGATAGTGGAGGTTGGCAAGACCTTGCTGGTTGACTCGTACACGTTGTCTCATCCAATATTCGAGCTGTGGGTAATCCAGTTGCCAACCAGCTCATTCCAAAATCATACACATTCTCTGTGATTTCTCCGTTTGGTTTCTTGAAATCGTCTTCGATATTCGCATTACAATTCCCACAGAGACCCTCTACAGCTGCGCCGAAAATGTGAGATGGTAATCGAATGTTGAAGGCAAAGTTATGTTTATGAATGGTCAGTTCTAATTTGATTGGAAGTATCGAAATTTTGATGTTTTTCTGTAACATTTCTTCAATCTGAAGCCACGAGTTCTTCAGCGGAATAGATTCTATTGGCTCACCATCGAATGTGATGAGAGTTTTCCGGTAGTTTTGATCTTGTTTCATTTCCAAGAAATGACCTTTATAGATAACTGCTATTGTGTCAGTGCAGACGCCTCTTTCACAAGGCACGTTCGTCATTAATACCTGATATGTATGTCTTTCGGGTTGGCTTTGTGTACTTTTCACAGCTTTTGCAGTCTTAATACTTTCTTCAGGTGGTTTCACTATGTCTCGAGACAAAATATAAGTACAATTCCCAGCAAATGTAAAGTCCTTTCTATCAAATGTCATGAAATTCGTGTTCCCAAATCCATCACACGCACAGTCACGGCATTCAGTAGGTGTAATACACTCTTCTCCGTGTCTGACGAGTCCATCTGGGCAAAAACATCCCGGGAAACAGACTCCCGGCATGCGGGGGCAGGGCTCAATCTCTTGAAGATTCTCACAACTAGCTTCACATTTATTTCTAAAGCAGTCCTTGTAGACGAATGGAGTTGGACAATGTATCGGGCAATTATAGATATCTCTCCAGCTAGATAAGTCAATATTCTCCTCTGTGGCTTGACAATCCGTGACGAAAGAAGTCAATGAACGACATCTGCATTCATCTATTGTTATATTCGAATTGCTACACATGCATATAGACTCGACACATTTTGTGAAGAAGCTCTTCATATTGAGGACATTTCCACATGACTGGAAGGATTTATCATTGATCGTATTACAAAATTCTTTAGCTTGAGCGTACATTTCTTTGGAACAACCTTGAGTGTCACATTCTGGAGTTCCATCCATCACCCAACTATCTCCAAACATCGGACTAGTCTTCGCTTGGACTCCATCAGGTCGTTGTCTATCATTTCTCATGTTTCCATCAAAGTATCCGCAGAGACCATCGATACGGCCTTTTAATCTTGGATTGACTCCAATACAAATCGAATCTTCATTGAAAACAACAAAGAATCCGTACTTACGGGATGAAAAATTTATCTTGTTTCCCACCAAGAACACCCTGAATCCTCCTTTCTTATCATGATAATGTTTTATTTGCTCAGAAGTGAAGGTGTATTCATTAATCTCAACGGATTTGTTCGGATAGAGAACAATGACATCACCATCTAAGACGATCGCTACCACTTTGATACATGGTTTGTTCAGAATATCACAATGGTTCTCCAGAGTTATGTACCACTTATTGAAGTACATATCTCTTGCTAAAATGTGATTACAAATGTCGTATTTATACTCCAACTTATCAAATGTCGTGAACATCTTCCCATTGATATGACACATAACTTCTGTCTCGCGAGGAGGTTGGCACCGCCATCTTGGACATGGTTGTGGATTGTACATACTCTGCGGCTCAAAGACGATTCGATGATTCAGTGGGCACTGTGGCTTAAGACACTCTCCTTTATTTTTTCCACCACCGGGAGGTATTGGTGGAAATTCCTTGGGTACACACGAGTACTCTTTACATTCTCCCTCGGCTTCCTGAATATTGAGATCATTCCTCCTTGGTTGTTTACCAACTCGTTGATAGCCTCGAACTTGTTTCATCGTATTGAATCCCCTCATTTGTAATCGACCACTTTTATAGCCTCCGAAAAATGGTGGAGGTGGTCTGGTGGGTTTAGTTGGTTCTTTCAACGGGACTACTCTGAAGTTCGGGGGACAGGAAGGGACTTTACATGTTGAAACAATCGTAACGTTCCTTTCTGCGGTGGTATTTGTTATGGTGATAGTTTTATTAAAAGTTCCTTCAACCACATCAGGTGGTTGAGTCACACATCCAGTCTCATCATCAGAGCAATCCTTTACTCCATTACACCATAGGGTCTCATCGATACAGACTTGGTTTGTTTTACAGAGTTTTTGACCCTCTGAACAAGGTTTGCACATACATCCACATAATTCTGTTACATAAGGCTTCATCGTTGGGTCCTCACAGGGTTCGCAGACCTTTTTTCCACACTCTGGGATTCCCCCCAGAGTACATGTGCACTTATCACAGTCGTCTGTCTCGTATATCGAACCCACTTTGTAGGGAATCCCTTTAGCGATGCAAGGGCAGTATTCTTTATATATACAAGTGACTCCATCCCAGAATAAAGGCTCTTTACATTTACATTCATCCTCGGAGTTTGTGTAAATCCCTCTGCATACATTGCAAGGACTTTCTATCATTTTTGGAAGAGAAGTGGTTGGGCGGGGATATGGCACAAAGCAACCATGCACTTCTACTTTCATCCCCACGTGATTATGCCATTTAACTGGTTGAATTTTAATGTACTGAGCATTGATGGGATACTCGAAGTAATTTGTCTTTGACGTGACATCATCAAAGTTACCTAAGAAGATTTTTTCGGCACCTGTTGAGTCAATGATTGGGTTCCACTCACGGGGATTGGTAGCATAAAATACTTTATATGCGGTTGTCCAGATATTATCCACTCCCTTGGTTTCCACTCCCGTCAAATTTCTATTCTCTAAAAAATTGAACTCGACGAATTGATTAGGATTATCCAACTGTGGTCTCCAGATGCCTGGAGACGAGAATTTCAAGCTTGGAATGAGGGAATCTAAATGTGAAGACGCTGTGACTTGTTCCTCTATTAAAATCCCGTTATCAAGTCCCATTGGATCGTCACAAATAGGTTCGAAAGTTGTCACTTCGTAGACTGAAGTCGATATAATATCCATTGTTGTAGATTCAGTTATGTTTTGACATCCCAAGACGTCAACTTTAATCGAGATTCCCCCCTCCCAAGTTCTAGGATTGACCCTGATGAATTTGGCTTCAATCGGTTGATGGAACATTTGAGTGACAGGAATAAAAGCATCGATTGGACCTCTAAACTCGTCAGGGAGATACGAAAATGTTCGGCCATCTTGGGAAAACAAAACTGCATAACTTGTTACAAATTGTTCTTTCTCAGGATTTCCTTGTACTGTGAGTCCATAGACTGGTTCCACTTGTTTCAGTTTGATCTCCAAAAACTGTTCACGGTTTTGATGTAATGGTTCCCAATATTCTTTGAGTGATGATGATTTTACTGGGGCCTCAACTGATGATTTTAGTGGCACATCATTGATTGTATCAACAATGATTTTTCCTGGTAAATGTTCATATTTTCCACTAGCACAAGCCTCTGGAGGTGTCACAGTACTCGGTATAATTGTTGTAACTTCTTCGATCGGTGTAGGAGGAAAACTCGTTCTTGTTAACGGCTCCGGTGTAACGACTTCCGTTACACAGCGAGATGTATCACAGCTGTAGTAATTATTGACACATTGGCACACCTTACACTCCGATTCATAGACTACAACTCCTGGTTTAACAGAATTTCCATTATTAGATCTACAAGGACAGTCTTGAGGTTCCACACAAGTTACTGCATCCCTCCAAACTTTATCAGAAGAACACCTATTCTCATCTTGAACACATCCAGCAATGCATTCAGTACCACTACCACAGAGTTGTTCATCGATTAAAAGATGATGGAACATGTCACAAGTTCTGCGGCAATCGATTGCACATTGTTCGAATTTTTCACCTGGTTTACAACGCTGGGGAACTTCTGTTGTTGTCTGAACGAGTGGTCTACATTCAGGTCGGAATAAGACGACACTCTGAGGCCAGTCGCACGTTTTTGATTGAGTATTGAAGTACATTGTGGGTCCGCATGTCTTCTTTATCAATTTGTTTCTATTAGCAGTCGGAACACACTCGTAAAATACCGAGCAGTCTTGAATTGAGAATGTGTAAGTGTCTAATTTACACTCGTCTCTAGGTGCATCTGTTACTGGTTTGAGAGTTGTTGTAGTTGAAGATTCAGTCGTTTCGTCCTCGCATTGACAGAGAACACTGATTTCAAAATCTGGACAAGTTTCATTGTGATGACCTTGGCAATACAATCCTCTTTCCAAACTGCATTCTACATCGAGGCCTGTTTCTTTAGGAGTTAAATGTTTATTAACTGTTCTACATTTGATATCCACCATAAGATTCTGCTGACAACGTGAAGAGTTTTTCAATGAGGTAAGATCAATCCATGTTGGAAGAGGTTCAACATCGATGGATTTTTGAGAGCGTTTCGTACCTTTTACGGGAGCCTTGATCATCCCCTTGACTTGCTCTCCCTTTGGAGAATGTGTATTCACCCAATGCGTCCACCCGCTGACACATTTCTCAGCCTCAGTCATAGGAACAGTCGTGGGTTTCACTGTTGTAGTGCAAGGTGCACCGTTACAAACTACTTTACCCCTACTGCAGAAGCAAGTCTGACAAGAATCACTACTGACAGTGTCTCCTTCGTAATAAGTGATCCCATCTTTCTCCAAACAGATGGGTTTACAATCAGATCGGGAGACACAATTATGGAAACTATTATTTTTCCAGACTTGTCCATCTGGACAGGACTTCATGACACACCCCTCGATACAAGTATCCTCAACACATAAACGAGACCCATCTCGAAGGTGGGATAAATCGTCACAGGTTTCTGTCTTACATGTGGACATACAAGGAGAGTAACTACTGCAGTTCTCGTCACATTGCATGGGACAAAGTTCTTGAGATCTCCATTTCACTGGAACTCCTCTGCGATTACATTCATGAGCATAAGCTGCGAGAGAGGTGCAAAGACACTCGCAATCACCTCCACCATCGCACCCACAAGTATCGAAGGTGCAGCGTTCTACGTAGGGTTCAAAGTCGACTTCTGAATGACAGAATTGGAATAAAGGACTCTTGAGTATTCCGCACTTCGCAATCGCCCATATTTTTCGTTCTGGATGTAGAGCACAGGTGTCAGTAATTTCTGTAGGTTCAGGACAATAGTTATCCTTCTTCCAAGAGTCTCCAAAAATTCTGGCAGATGCTTCTGAGATTCCACCTGAAGGAGTCTTGAAATCATCCTCACTGTTATCGTTGTAGTCTCCACAAAGACCTTTGGTCCTCCCCTTCCACTTGGGGTCTAGTTTCACATAGACTCGTGTTCCCTTGTCCCATTGAAGAGTCAATCCCAAGTCAGGAACGTCAAGAAATACGAAGTTTCCAGCTTCTCTCGTTACAATCCTCTGGAAATTTCTTTTGAGTAGGGCTTTTCCTTTAGTTAAGGTAACCTTCTCCTGCTTATTTCCGTTTCCAACGGTGAGGGTTACTGATTTCGAGCAAGCGACTCCAGAACTTCCACAAGGGACATTCTGCGTGGAAATTTCGAAACAATCATTAGCTCCAAAGCTGGATTTAACAAGTACGTAATCGCAAATTCCCTGAAAATCATAATTCCGGTCATCAAATGTTTTGTAATGTGAGTCACCCCAAGCTGAACACACTCCGGAACAAATTCTGTCAGAACACGTCCAGTTTCCTCCTTTACATCTACAAGTATTGCATTCCTCCTGCATCGTTGAATTATCTTTGTAACTTCTGCCGCCATGGTAACAAGGACAGTTGTCCTTCTTGACACATTCATGCCTTACGGAGTCGAGGACATATCCTTCCTTACAAACACACCCCGGACGACAGATTGCAGGGCTTTTGTTGATGGGTTGATGCATATTTCTGCAGGTTCTAGGCTCAATAGGCTCACAAGTCGTTGCCTCTTGGTTCCTCGAGGCACTGCAGACGTTGTTCAAAGTTACAGGAGGATATACCCCAATTTCTTCTTTAGTTGCTGGTCTACAGTTCCATAAACCCCCAGCGCAAGTACACAATTCCTGACTTTTCGTCCCAGGTTGAATTTCCTTATGACCTGCTTTGAACTCCATTCCGTTGAAGGTGCAAGGACACTGCCCGATGGGAATGCATTCACCATAAGCGTTGAGGGTTTGACTCTCTGGACAATTGCACCCTTCGACACATTCTTGGCGACAATCCTTATTGAAAGAGATGTCGCTGCAAGACCTTGTGCAGCTGTTTCCACAGATCTGATACTGTTGACCTACCGGACAGTGTAACTGACATTCTTCGACTTCTGTTCGCCAAGGAATTTTCACGCCATTTGCTGCGCATTCTTTTGCGTAGGCTGACAGTATTGGGCAGAGGCAGTGAGAGATTGAGTCCGCACAAGCACACATGTCGTATTTGCAGTCCTTATAAAAAATGTCTGGGTCCACGTACCAGTGGCATGTTGTGAATAAATCGCCCCAAATTTTTGAACAATATTTCTCGGCGGTAGCCAGATGTTCTGGGTTCGCATCACAGGGATGGGAGAACTCTTTCTGAGGTATGTCTTCACATTGCTCGGTTGTCTTCCATTTGTTTGCAAAATCTACGACAGATTGCTCAATGTCTCCAAAAGGAGTTAAGAAGTCGTTTCGCTGATTCTCGGTAAAAGTTCCGCAGAGACCCTGGGTCTTGCCTCGAAATTGGGGATGAGCATTGACGTAGACTCGGGAGACGCCGTCCCACCACACCTCGAGACCATTTGGGAGTTGTGCAACTACAAAAATACTGCTGGCTAGCCAGATTTTTACGCCAGAGACCGAAATAGGAAGTTTTGTCACGTCCTCGTTATTGATGGCTATTTTGTGGTTCTGTTCAAGAAAGATTACCGTAGTTGGTAGCCGAATGGTGACAGATTTGGTGCACGATGGAAGTTCGGGAGAGTTTTCTCGCGAGAAGCCCATTGCCTGAAAGAAGAAAATCATTTTAATACCAATTCAGTTGAATTACAACCTATTATTGAATGAATGTTTGTAAACAAGTCTTTCAGGAGAAACGATTGCAGGAACTTTATTAAAAGACGTCCACGAGAGGTGGAGAAAGTTGCAATCAGTTAGTGAAAATCAACATAAAAAATGAAATCAAATTGAATGGTTACCTCAGAGATCGCTCCCGAGCAAGCAACATTCTCTGTGTCAATGCTGTAATTTTCCCCTTTTACCAAATAATAACTGCACTTTCCCATGAAATCATAATGCTTCCCGTCGAAGGTTACATAATGAGGATCTCCAACTGCAGCACACCTAGCCCCGCATCCTACTTGCGTGCAGATCCACTTGCCAGCGGCGCACGTGCAAGTGTTACACTGCTTAGGAATGGTTGCACCAGGTTGGAATACCTTCCCTCTCAATCTACAAGGACACTCATCCAGGGATATACAATTCCCCTCATGAAGAACAGTTCCTTCGGGACAGAAACAGCCTTCTTCACACTCCAGCTTATCAATATTGTCCGATATCGAAGCAGCATCATCATTACAAGATGGTTCAGATTGAGGTCCACACGACTTATAAATCTTTCCTCCACTGCAACTCATAGGACAAGTCTCTTCTCTCCTCCAAGCAACAGACTTCGTGATTCCATCATGAAAGCATTGTCGCGCATATACGCTCATAGTATCGCAAGCACAATTTCTCTGATCTCCATCTTTGCAACGGCAAAAATCCCACAGACAAGTTGCCTTCAATGGCCCCAAGTCAACAACCTTCGAACAGTCTCGAAACTTCGGATCAGAGAACAATTGCTCACAGAATCTCTCTGCTTCTTCTCGAAGGACCAAATCATTCCCACAAGAATGTTCAGTGTGCTGATAATCATCACACATTTCTTCGATATTCTGAGCCTTCCAATCAGCTGTGAACGCAGCAATTGTTCTGTGATGATTCCATTCTCGACCAGTTCTATCATCCCTCACATCTCCATTCATCCTTCCGCATAGTCCGGCCGTTCTGTTCCACAGAGACTCGGATGCCTTCACCTGAACAAATAACCCACCATCCCACTTCAGACTAGCACCTACAGAGTCTAAATAAACTATGACGAAGTGTGCAGACATTTGAACTCTTATTCCAGTTAATTGCGCTGGAATCGGCAGAATTTTCTTCACTGTTCTGAAAGTTGGAACTCCAAGTTCATTCAGAGCTATGGTGAACTCTTTTCCTTCCAGGAAGATCTTCATTATTTTATGACAGGATCTTTCATTAGGGCATCCCGGGCTATTTTGGATTATTACGGTAATGATTCCATCACGAGTTTCTTGGAACAAAGTGTACGGACAGTTGCTTGAGAAACTGTATATTGCACCGTCAAAGGTCTTGTAGTGACTTCCTCCCCAAGTAAAACAAGTCTTTGCTTCAGGTTTCTTCAGCTCTGTTTCAGCCGAAGTATTGGAGAATAGTTCGTACTGATCAAGGATTGTATTTTCTAATTGCTGATGAACTTCGTAATGTCCACCTTTGACTGCTCCAGTTTTGACTCCACCTTTATCTCCTCCTTGTCTAATCTTTTGGAAAGCATTCCTCATTAGTTCTTGGTCATATGCTGCCATGTTGGACTTGGATCCCTCGACCCTCCAGAAGTGATTTGTCGTCGTTATGTAGGAGTTTTTGATAGTTCCGATAGTAAAGATCTCACTTCCAGGTTTCGGTTGACATTGGGGAACTGGTTGTGGTTCAAATATTCCAGTTTCGTATTGACAAGTATATTCTGTGGCAGGTGGAGTTGAGAACTCAACTCCTTCTGGGCAATTAAGGGTACATGAGTAGGAATATGCGTCTCCATGACATTGGTATCCACCATTAAAGGCCAGGTTTCTAACGTTACAGCGATCTATGTGGAACTGGCACAGCTGGCCTCGGAAATCTTGGGGGCATTGGCAAGTGTTCAGAGCCAAACAGATTCCACCGTTCTCACATGGAGGAGAGCAAACGGGTGTACAGCTAGGAACTGAAGACCAGTCGGTTCGAGTTGGAATCCAGTTTCCTTCTTTGCAGTTCATATTGGTTATTGATGAACCATCCGGAAAGGTGAAACCGTTCATGCAAGATACCGTGCATGTCCTGAAATGTATAAACGGATTATTCAATTGTTGTTATTAATAATGCGATTGATAGTTTCTGAATTTGATTGTTTACTCGATATTTAATTAGTTGTATTAGGTGTGTGAATATGACTCCGCCCTTTCCCAACAGATATCGTTTTTAGTATTGCTTACGTGCACTAATAAATGGCAACACTTGTATTCGATAGTACTTTATGTCAGCTGTCAAACGAACTACGTGACATTTGGTTGAAATGTAAGCAACAAGTGTTTTTACCTCCGTGACAATGTCGGTTTTCGTTCCATGTAAACATCATTTGCGGGAAGTGTTATTACACTTTATATTGCAAAGAAAAGTGTAGCGGAAACTTATCGTTTGCTTGTGGAGATTTACGGTGAGCATGCTCCATCTAATACAACTTGCAAGGAATGGTTTCGACGATGTCAAAATAATGATTTTGGCACTGAGGACAGAGAACATGGAAAACCACCAAAATTTGAAGATGCTGAATTGGAGGCATTATTAGCAGAGGATTCTTGCCAAACTAAATCAGAATTGGCTGCAACATTAAATATTGAACGATCAACTGTTGCAAATCGTTTAAAAGCAATGGGAGTGGTTCAAAAAGTTGGTAACTGGGTTCCATATGAATTGAAAGAAAAAGACATGGAACGTCGAAAAACAATTTGTCAAATGCTACTTCAAAGACAGCAAAGAAAAGGATTTTTGCATCGAATAGTCACAGGAGATGAAAAATGGATATATTATGAGAATCCCAAATGCCAAAAAGCTTATGTGAAGCCAGGTGAACCCGGCCCATCCCAGCTAAAAAGAAATATTCACAGTGCCAAGGTTATGCTCTGCATTTGGTGGGATCAGAGAGGTGTTGTATATTATGAGTTGGTCAAACCCTCTCAAACTATTAATGGAGAAGTTTACCGATGACAACTAATGCATTTGAAGCGAGCCATAGAAGAAAAACGACCAGAATGGGTGAATAGGCACAGTAAATTAATTCTTCAATACGACAATGCCAAACCGCATACCGCCCAAGTTGTGAAAAGATATTTAGATGGACAGGACTGGAAAGTGCTACTCCACCTGCCATATTCGCCAGACATAGTTCCTTCGGATTACCACTTATTTCGAACACTGCAGTCAGATCTTACGGGAGATCGGTTCACTTCATACGAAGGTATCAAAATTTGGCTTGATAATTGTATCAGCTCCAAAGACCAGGATTTCTTCAGGCAAGGAATACGTAAATTACCTGAAAGATGGGCTGATAAATGTATTTTATTTGAACAAAAAAGGGCGGAGTCATATTCACACACCTAATTTTGATGTTCGATGGATAGACTCTAATGTTCGATGGATTAAACAGGGTGTCGCACTACTAAAGGTACAGTAGATTCTAAAATGTTGCAAGTTGGGATAGCTGTAACGCCTCCCTGTTGACCGCCTTATCGCGTTGTTTTGTCTTTCTCGTACGTAGTTATGAAGCCCCAATATAGTTTTATTCAATTCTATAAATTATATAAATTATGTAGGAATAGTGTAGTTTGCGTTTTATTTTGTCGAAAAAGTGAATAAGTGAACCACAAAATCAGAATAGTGTGCGATGTAGTTGAGTGGATGCATGATGCCAAAAAGCAATTAAGAATATTTGAAAGACTAAATAGAGACGATACGTTTGAAAGTGAGCTTTTACGATTGAGGTGTGAAATGAAGTGTTTATGTCGAGTGACAGTTTGGAAAAATAAGAGTGTTTATGTTAGATGGAGTTTGGGTATCGCGTATGGTTTGGGTGACGGAATAAAAGGGAGTATTGTGTATGACAAAGAGTGCGTAGAGAAATTGTAGGTGTGAGAGTGATGTAACGAAGAAAAAAATTGGAGTATGCTGAGATGAAAATGTTTGGAAATGAGTCAGTGGTTGGTGAGAAGAGCTGGAGAGAAAATCGCGAGCGTTTGTAGTGATTATCGGTACGACAAGTCTATGTGACTTTTATCCAAATAATTTTATACTTTATCCAGTGATATTTCCAATAAAGTTTAATCATATTTGTTATCTACAATTATATAAATATTCACAATCTCGTTCTCTCTCCACCTATCCTGTATAAAAAGGAAGATGTCAAGTTCCGCCAGAAGACCTTCATCTAAGCGCTGGGTATTTTTTAATTTTTGTGGCAATTCTGCCTAGGTCGCCTGAAGTCGACTTGAAAATGGGGCCGTCTCTGATCAGATTTGCTTATTCAAGTGAAAACTGATCCAGTATTTCTGAGGTCAAACAGAGTGAAATCACTCTGATCAGATTCGGATCTGTTCACCCGAATTTCAATTTGATCAGCGCATCCTAAGCAGAATCTGATCGGATTCAAATTTGGTCAGCCAGATCTCAATTTGAGCAAGAAATCTTAATATGAAATGGATGAGATTGAGATTTGGTCAGCCTGATGTCCACATGAACACGGCGTCGGCAGTATTAAGGGTAATACTATATTTTTAATTTAGGAAGGTAAAATGAAGGAATCGTGCCCACGCATGGAATGGTAAGCACATTGTAACGAGATTGTCTTGTTACGGGTTGAAATCCCCTTAAAAAATATGTGAACTTTTAAATTATTAAAAAGAGAGGCAGGTAGTGACATCTAGAGGCGGCTGAACAAAGCCGCGACTAGATGGGAAGAACCACAGATCAATGAAAGACCAAAGGCATAGCGGTTATGGGTGAAACCATGAAGAATAGAGACCCGGAGGCTGAACTAGCGTTGTCAGATTCGATCCCATACTCGAGGTCAAAGAGGATAGACCTGAGTAGAGGCCCGGAACAGGGGGTTTGACTGACTCCAAAAATGTTAGTTGGTACCCCACGGGAAAGGCGGCGTCCCGGTCGAATTGTCGGTAAATGTGAGTCGGGTGCGTGAGTAACTCGGCAGTAGCAGTCCCGCTGTGACAGGGACAGGTTTAAAGGGAGGATTTTGTCCTCCTTGTACTCAATGTTTACTTTATGATTTTCAGTTGATTTATTCGCCGACTAATTAATATTAAGGGATGAAACAAAGACTGTTCAATGGAGAATTAAATTCCCCATCCATCAACCCCCGTTTCATCCCTTAATCTCTGC